TCTTAGGCTGAGTAGGACCTTATGTATATGTCTTAGGCTGAGTAGGACCTTATATCCACTCTCAAATAAACAAACATGGACTTACCCTCATTGTTCGTTTATTGATCTCTCTGTCAAATATATATAAGAAACCATCATTCGCACTGCCAAGAAAAACAGAGACCAGAAATTGAAAGAGGAGTTAATGTATAATTCACAAAGAGGTAACATAAAACTGGTCATCCAACTTCCAACACAGTTTTTTTAATCTTCATTACCAAAAAATGTTATTATTTATCATTTACATTCATAATGCAAATCTTGTAATTAACACTTTGCATTACTTGATCTAACTTTCATTTCATTTTAAACTGTGGAACTAAAGTTTCTTTCTTGGAAAAGAAAATACTTTCACTGTGTTGAAAGGTAATTACTAGTCCATAACAGCAGACAACATATTTGGCAAAATTAATTGTAAATTTACTAATTCCATGTAGTTTGGTAAGACAGAATTTTCTCAAAACTTAAGTAGCATACCCGGCCAAGATTTCTCTGTTGTTGCTGGAGAATTGTACCGAAAAAGGACAGAAATGGCCATCACCTGGTTCCATGTCCAACGCCACGTGGGTCTGGAAATCTCCTCGCACATTGCATAAGTGAACTGTTTTGAGTTCAAAGATCAAGAGTTGTAAAGTCACTACAAATTGCTTGCTTTAGAAAAAAATAATAATTCATTAAGCAAGAAAAGAGGAAAAAGTTGCAATTCCCTAAACGCATTCCATTCAGATCAATAATTAAGATTATTCTTCAAACACGTCCTTGTTAAATCATGACTCTTTCTTCGCATTGCTTGCTGTTCAAAAAGTTCAAGTTCTCCAGACAAAAGTATTACAATGCTTTGACTTACTGTACTCTGACCAGCTGGAGTAGATGAGGTAATTCCCATCAGGGCTGCAAAAAGAATAGAAAGAAAAGTCTTATCGGCTCAACTGCTTCCAATTAATAGCTGAATATTCTTTTCTAATACTGCTCACCTAAGAATTTGCCATCATTTTTGAATTTACAGTTATTAATTTTAATACAAAAACATTTTACAGATCTTCCAATCAATATGGTAAGAACTTTAAAAAATATGCATATACTGTACTTTAAAGATCTTCCACATTAAAAAAATACTCATCGTGTTTTTTTTTCAAATTTAATGCGACCGAAAAGTTTAGTTGCTTCTTTGGTATGATGTGATGGTTATGCTTATACTGTAAATCACCACCTAAACAAGGCCGTGTAATTATCAAACTACAGTATTAACGTGGCCTTTGCAAATCTTTCTAAACTATAAGAATGTTTTGGATGGTTTTGTAGGACTGAGAGAGGTTGAAATAAGACCAAAAGCACTTTGCATTAGGGCTAATGCCCCTTAAAAGCGAAATATTTGCCAAAAGTTCCTTGTAAAAAGGCCCAGGGAATTCAGGTAAAGTGTGGAGTTCATTCCAGTTAATTTGTGCATATTGCCACAGAAAAGACTCTCAAAAACGTGCCAAAGTAGGGAAGGGTGCAAAACCTACAATGTGTCCCTTCAAAAGTGCCAGGATTTTTCAAAATTATGTGTGGTCAAGGACAACAATTTCAAATCAAACTAGCTTTGGGACACAATGCAAGTTATGCAACAGCAACAGAGCCAAGATTTTGTCCCCTTCCAAGACTGTGCTCGGTCAACCACACGAGGACAACAGGTCAAGATCTGAGAACACCCTCTCCTCCGTATCGCCAATTTCAGACCCATGTACTCTCACCTGAAAGCCGTGTCCAGTATACTCCATCCGACATTCCGTGCCTTGATCTCTTTGAATTTCATGAATTGGCCATTGGTGGTGTCGTAGATCCTCAGCGTTTGGTCCTGGCATGCCGAGAGGAAGACAGAGCCATCTTTGGAGTAGTTGCCGCAGAAGGCCTTGGTGCAGTACTGGGCCACTGTCCGCATGGAGTTGGGTAAGAAGCTGGGAGGAATGGTAAAGAGATAGGATATGAATGAAGTGAAAGGCCTTGGAAGTCTACAGTTCTTGTGCAAAGAAACACCTGTGAACTTACTGAAGTATAGTGGGAATGCTGACAGCATCACTGAATAGAAATAAAGAGATTCTTTATAGCAACGGACACAAAACATGGACACAGACAGTCAGCAAAGTTGGATCATATTCAGTTTTGCTGATTGTCTGCATCAAGTTGTCAGTGTAAGCCCAAACAAAACGTGCACGATGGTATATGTATGGCAGGCACAATGGAACACCGCACATTTTGTGTGTTTTCTCTATTTGACTATGAAATAAAATCCAAAACCTGTCCACAAATTAGCTGACTGTAAATAAAATGTTGGTACATCAAAATTAACTATGTTTACACGTAGTAGTTTAGCTTCAGGAAGTGATACATCCACCTCCCCCCCCCAAAAAAATCCCTGACTTTGCATACAAATATGTCCAAGTTTGGAACGCGATTCTGTTTGAAGTTTTGGCTGGGTGTTGTCAACTCCTGTCTATTCCCCGCTTGTGTCTCGACATCTTATATATTGTGTGCGATCGCTGCAATCATACAGAAGACAGGTTTATCCCCTCAATGGTGGCAAAGATGAAATCTGGCTCACACTCAAATGCAGTTATCACCAAGCGCTAATGAGTTTGTGCACATTCAGCTGAAAAATAGTACTTTGTCAAAATGTGCAAGACGATTGCATGCAAGTGATGTGTTCAGTCTACAGACATCATTGCTTGCTAAAGTCTTGTTCATGCAGAAAGTCCACCAACAGTTGACGGAACAGTGGGAGGGGGGAACCCCCGACCATTAGACTGAAAAGAAAATTCAATTATGAAGTTTCAATGTACCACCAACGGCTGGTAGCCTATAAAGTTGGAGGGGGAGGGGCAACAACCCCCAGCCCCCTCCGTTCCACCGCCGGTGAAGTCCGCCACATACCCTTATGACTACAACATCCACATCCAAGGAGGAAAACCTCAGACATTCCTACTCTACTCTGAGTGCTTTCACTTACAACAGCACAAAGTCCAATTTGTTTTAGATGGCAACATGAAAGGACATGTCTAAGTATGGCTCCAAACCTGTTTACTCAGACAGGCAGACTCAAGATGGAACAGTGTGTTCAATATAAGAACAGCTGGTGTTCTGATTGTTCAGAAAATGCTAAGTGCATGTATTTAGACACGCTTGCCACTACAGGAAGATGTCTTCAAGACATATAGGAACACAGAGACAGTTCTCAATTTCAAGTATATTAGAGAGAGAGGGCCAATTACTTGTCTCACCTCTCTGATACCAAAGAGCGGTCGCCTCTGGAAAAGGTACCAAGGCCGCAACATTTTCCAATGGCTCTCTGGCAATAAGATAATAAAGAAATGTCAAAAAAAGGAGGTCCAACAGTTGTCATGCTTGTTGGATTTTGCTTGTTACTCTGCATTGAAAAATCATAAAACAGTACTGTACAACTTGGAAATACCTAAAAAGAGTAAGATGAGAGGCAATTATGTAATCTTCACTCATCACTCAAAGACAGGGTTGCAGCTACACTGGCTAGCACCAGCCGGCACTGCCGGCTGGTGCTAGCCACCACTCAACATTACCAGCTGGCACTGGGGATGAAAATGAAGCTTGCCCGCCAGCACAAATTACAATGCATACCACATTATTGCAATTTTTTAGTGTTGAGAGAAAATGGAATGTTTTCATTTTTTCAAAAATTGTCAAAATACAGCCGGCACTAAAAAATTCCAAGCTACAACCCTGCTCAAAGATTAACATGCTAAATCTCCTGAGATTAGATCAAGAGTATGTTGCCTGCAAAATCTAAGCTCTGACTTTTTTGTATGGAGATGAAATTCAGTTCTTCAATGTGTATCACTGTGCTTTACAGGAGACATGGGAAGATTTGAATACACAGTTCTCATGGGGATCACTCAACTGGTCCAACAACTTTTGAATTTCTGTTCGGCAAATTTTGGACCAAGTCTGAATTTACAAATACTAAACTCAGCGGAAGTGGGGTTGACAAAAGGTTACTAGAGGGGCTTTTACTGACCTTGCTCAGCATGATGGAGACTGGTGTTACCTTTGGCAGTGCCCCACTGTGATTCATCCCTGCTCTAAACAGCATCTCTTGTTTCAAATCACTCACCTGTGCAGTTGAAAGACAAACCAATCAAAAGGCATTTTAAGGAAGGGTTTTCAGAAAAAGTCTTGTTCAGTGGACTCTGGTGTTAGGAAACATGAAGGAGAGGCGATCCCTTTTTCAAGGGAGAAGGAATTGGATTACATCATGCATGTCATGAGACTTCCACTTACAAGTATAACTGGACAGTGTGTCTGACCATAACTCTGGTATTTGCTATGAAGCACACTACAGCAGACCCGAAGAGCCCAATTAGACTTGATGGTTGACAATCTGAAGTATTCACAAAACCTAAGGTATTCTCACTCCTTTTTATTGCCACAATTCATCATTTTAAAGATATTCAGAAATCTGCATGTAAAAATGTTTGAATATGCAAATGAGTACTCCGCAGGAAATGTCGAGAGGACGCTGAAAGAGCTCCCTTCCCCACTAGTTCCACCCCCACAAGCATAAAAACCCCATCCAACAGGTGTGCGAGAGTCGACTAATGTGAGGGGATGCCATTACTGCTGTGACATTAAACTCAAGTGAATGTTTTGAGATCTGAAGTACTTATTTTGGCAAGTCAAAGTGCCCTTTCGGTCAGAGAGGTACCCAAAGCATGCGCAGCACATGCGCACAAGTATGGTGTCACTGCAGTAAATGGCCTCTAATTCTGGTTGATGGATTAGCCTGTACTGGCCAGTGACAATATTTTCCCCTGGATCAGGTGCCAGTCTATATTGGCTTCTCTCCAGCTGATGTCTGTACTCATATCTAGTCCTGTTTAGTGACAGGCAAGTTTAGAGTGAAGGTGGGCTTGCCCAGCTAAAACATGTGCACCTGGATTTGAACCTTAGACCTTTTGAACACAGACCAGCATCAGTGACTTGACCACTGTATCATACATTACTAGTAATGCAGTGGCATAGCTGAATACACAATTTTGCATTTTCCTGTAAAGGGGCCCAATTCAGTGTGGAGAGAGACCTAAATAAAATATAAACAAATTCAGATGCTTGGGCATCATTGCTGTAGTCTGGATGGCCATAACAGCCATCATTACAAAAAGTGCTGGGTCATGTTGAGTCGGCTCTGTTTTGGCAACATGTTTTTGTTTACAAAACATCACGTACAATCTACGGTTGACCTTTGTACTTTTGGAAGCTGACAATGCAAATTATAAAATACATACCAACACATTTCATGGCTGAAAAAATCATGCCACTAGAAGGTCACAGATATGTTTTTTTGGGTGGGGAAGCTAGAAATAATTTTCATTTCCAACCTCAGTTTATATTCATAAGTCTACGTATCTCTGCCAAATTTGGTGTTCATCATAACATGTGCAATGGGTTTGCTAATGCTACCCACTGCAGCCCACAAACAGGTCAAAATCAAATGTTAAGAACATACATATACCAAAGCATGTAAAGCATTTCCACTCAACTTAACCCCCTCCCCATAAGGAAGCCACATTCCAGCCCTTCCAATGCCAGCAAATTCACATCAGCTCGACCTCGATCCCGGCCATAGTCTTGCAACCAGACAAGAAAACATGCGGCACTAGGTGAGAAATTTAAAGATAAGAGACAATCATAACATGATAAAATCCACGGAACTTTGCTGGTCAACTTACATCGATGGCTCTCGTGTCTGGATTGAGGTCGGCTGAAACACAAACAAAATAAATGTTATCAGGAAAATAGCAAAACTTGTGAAAAAAATTGGGTCAGGATTGAACTGGCTGATTCAGCTTTAACATTCAGTCTCATTATATTGAGTAGAGGCATTGGAAATACAGAAAAAGTGATTCATAATGTCAAACACTTTGAACTGTGTGTGATGATCACTTTCTGAATAAATTACATTAACTGCTTCGAGTGGTAGAGCAAAGTTACATGTCGCCATCCTCAGTGATCCCTTGATCATTGTGTGTCTACCAAAGACATTATTAAAATAATTTTTGTAATGAATATCTTACAGCTTTGTGTGATCAATAAAATTTGGACATCATGGTTGGGGGTAACGTTTACTTTTCTTCTTGAGATGTCACTTCTGTATTTTCAGTCAACCACATGACATGTAGTAGAACTGTGGTAAAGAAAGTTTCCTTTTTTGAGGGGGGGTGGGATTCTTACAGATATTTGTTACCTTGAGGACAGCATTCTATGAGTGAATCATCATCGCTGTCTCCAAAATCCAAGTCAGGTCCAGAGGAAATCAGTCGAATCTGACCACTAGGGCAGAAAATATTACAAAATTGTGGATGCCTAGTGTACAACTAGGCCAAACATTTCTGGGACCTGTTTGTGGAACAAAGACTAATGTCCATGACCATACCTGTACACAATGTTGCCAGGTCCCTTATTTTGTTACTTACTGTGAAAACCAATCAGGTGGCGAAATTAGGGACCCGGCAACTATATGGTTATGGACAGGGAAGCATGGACGGAACTTTACAATATTTCATAGTTTGTGTGCCAGTTGACTAGATGATGGCCAAAACGGTCCAAAGCCCATCTGATAAAGATGACACTGTTTCAGTTGTACTGGCTGAGGATCCATTTTCAGATCTTGGCAATGGTCCTTAATTATGGTATAGCACAATTTCAGATATCAAACAAATACAATATTCACCAAATATCTGAAACCTTTCATGTTAGCTGAAGGTGTAATGCTTCGAGGAGGGAGGGAACCAAACAACATCAATAATAGGAGGTGCTGCTCAGGAGGGTCATGCTATTTAGCATCAACAAGCCTCAACAAAGCATCAACTAATTATTAAACCATATTTCTACAAAATAGTTTATATTTACAACATTAATTAGGCTCCTTCATATCATATTCAATGGCTCTGCATAATATTTATGAGTGTGGAAATTGGAGTGATGCATCCAACATTTACATGTAGGGCCTAGGGCCAACAACTGACCAAGTATAACCCAGATGAATGGCATTAGGAATAATGGGATTTAAGCTTCCTGTCCTTGGTATTTCTCAGGTGATCAGCTCATTATGACGATCAAGCTGACACAAATAGGCCTGGTTATGTAAGTGAATGCAGATCAAGTTATCAATAATAACATCATGTTGTCATGTCCATCGAGCGACTTACCTTCGCATTAAATACGCCAACAGTTCCGCGTAGTCCATTTCCGACTCGTCTCTGCCCCTAGCTCTAGACCCGGCATTGCTAGAACCCAAATCTTGCCTTGACCTCTCATCGCTTTGTCTGGACCCCATTAGAAATACGAGAAATCCAGGGTTACTTTGGTTTCATCAGTCACCGGTGCGTCATTAACTCTTGATCGTTGTGCCCGGCAACTTGTCGGAAACGCAGTTGGATCAAGTTAAATAACAGTGTTTACACAGGCCCAATGCTATGGCCGTGCGCAGTGCATGCTAGTGCTGGTGGTGTCTGTGGTAAAAGAATAGAGGGCGCTGCTTTCGCACCCTTGTTCATAGATTTACTGCAAAAGCTCTATTTGGCCATCGGGCATTGTTCCAGCGGAATAAACAATCTTTTGTTGCAGCATGGAGGAAGGGATATTGCAGATACCGAAACAGTCCAAGGGTGAATCCAGCCTCAGAACCAAATTTCGGGGGACCTGGGGGGGGTCCAAAATTTTGGGGAAAAAATTCATTGAACTTTTTTATGGCCTTTCTGGGGGGCGGGGCTACGTCTGTTATTTTTCATACGCTTTTGGGAAGAAAAAAAATGAAATAAAGGCCCATAACCTTTGTCTCATTTCCTTTAAAAAAATTATTCTTTTGGCTCTTTTTTTGCAGGGGGGGTGGAACCGTTTGTTGATGTTTGATACACACAATAGGTCACGTAACTTAGCGGACGCAATCGTACGTCTGTTACTATTAAGCGTATAATAACTGGCCAACTAAATAATCAGTGTTTCAAATGTCTCGAATGCAGTCAACACGTTTTCAACCCCAAAAGACAACCTTACAGTGAATTGGATTAGTACGGTAACCGCTCAACCTCTCCCACCATTGTCATCTCTCGCACAATTGCGAAAACTTTCTTTAACTTGGTAGAAATTGTTTGGTACGCTTTCCACTGCGGGTCGCACTGTATCGCCCCGAATCGTCATCATTTCAAAAGCAAGGAAGACCTATGAACGAAGCCAACAATTGAATTTCCTCGAAGGAATATGATGATATTGCAAAACATCAAAGAGTCGACTTAAGGTGTTGTACCTTCATCACCAAAAATCAGGAAGACTCAATTCACGATCTTCTTGTCAAGCAGTGCAATAACTCTCCTTTATTTTCCTGTCGTACTTACTATGTCAACTTTACATCCTGTTTTGCTACGTTTAATTATGTTATTTTCGTATGTGTTTTTCCAAATGACTCTTATTTCTGTGTTTTTTTCCAGTAAAGGTGTACCGGGCAATTCGGAATGACTTACTGGTTTATAATAATTTTCAGATGTGAATCTCATGATCAGTGTGCATGACTTGCAGTGTTAATTGTTCCACTGGGAAGGCACAAGTCGGTTCAGTGCTCACCTCATCCTACAAGGGCATAATGCACAGTATTTGTAGTAAAATGATGTTTGGCCCATGTTTCGTGATACACCCCCACACATAACAGTGCAAATCGGATAGAAATAGCACCACCTGGGCATTGTGACGTTCAGGAATCAGATAAAATAAAAGATTATGAGCACCAAGTCACTTTTTGATGTTTGCTAAATATTTGTCATCCTCCGATACCCTCTCAAAAATTCCCTGCACGCGTTACTATGCTTACAATAATTCTCACCATTAGTTTGAAATAGCGCCCCCATTTCATTTCAGGTTGCATCACCCATGCGTCACCGGAGATCAGCGATTGCTCTACACGTGAATGAAATGCCCGGTGCAATCAGAAATCATAGCCTGCGCCACCGGACACCTACGCCGGCGGCGCAGAGATATAGCAATGCATGAATTCTAATTTCTTTTCATTTTCAAGAGTGTGAAAAAGGGAGAATGCTACTTCCCCCCTACATGTTTTTCTCAATCTCAACTTTTTTTTCTGCTGATGTCTTGACACTAATTTGACAATCAGACATTCTGTTCTCGCAAAATGTCCGTTACTTTCCATAAGCTCGACAGAATATGTTCATTCACATTGTGCTCAATGTGCGTGCATGGGATGAGTGTGAGCTTCTCATTAACTCAGATCATGGAGCTATTGAGTCAGCTTCATGCTCAGACCATTAAAACAAAACAGGGCATCGTTGTAAGAACGTCCAGAATTAGCTGTAAGTGAAGATTAAAAATTTTCCTTGCTAACATGTAACATAAAGAACATGAAATGAAACTATCTGGTCTCCATAATCACCCCCCCCCCAAAAAAAAACCTTTCCGCAGCCCAAGCCCATTGCAAGACGCCATCTCACATTAGTCTGGCTCTTTCCTTCCTTACGAAGTGTATTTAATAAACTTTGTGCGTAGTAGGTAACCATACATCCACAAACAACGCTAAGCCATGACAACATTAAACAATTTATGGCTATAGCTGTGGGTTTCGCCCGTCACACACCACAGTACTCAGTCGTAGCCTTAGCTTATAACCCAGCCTTAGACTCGGCGTTTTCGGTATACACCTACCGTGTATGATGAACGCGTACCTTCCAACATGTAGAATGTACATGGATCTGAGGCGTATCGGTCGTCGGTTTTGCGATTCTCTTCAGGGAAACGTCTGTAAATAACTGTTTCTTCGCGAATCATATTTTCGGAAAGAGTTCCATACGTGGACATCACTTATTTTCCCTTGCAGTGCCAGTGGTTTGCCAAGCCATCAGAAAGTGATGACAATGTTCCATAATGTCAAATTTAGCAGTGAAAATATTAATTTATCGATAATTGAATTTATGATTTGCAAAATGACCTGGACTGGTCTCATATTATTTGTGCGCAGGATGTAAAGTGGTGTTCGTGTACATGGTGTATGGAACTCTTTCCTGTTGTTTTATACTCGTGTAGGCCTAGGCATGCTATGCATGATTGGTCTGTGGCTACGTTGCTGTGTTTAAAAATGTATATCGTGGAGTACCCTAATAAATTCAAATATTCGCTCATCCAACTTTCCCGTCGTGAAACTCTTCAACAAAATTATGCACTGATGTTAATTTAACTGTTGATGACAGATTGTCACTTCGCAGCTACATGTATGTGCGAATAAAAAGTTTTTCCACGGAGAATTCGGGAAAAATGTCAGCAGAGCATAAAACCTTACTTTACAGACTAAATTCTACAAAATAAACTGGTTAAAATTGTCTAGAAAATGAATAAACGATCCCTGTTCATTCATGATTGATGTTGGATGTCTAATACAGGCACTAATGACGACTTTGATCAACTTTTGCCAAGTATTGAGGGCGTTATCAAAAATACGGAGCCTGAAAAAGTACTGCGCACTATACTTTTGAGATTTCCATTGGCAACGACAGGCGCGGATTCGGTGGCATTGTACTTGTGACTTTTTTCATAAATACACGTAGAAAGAGAAATTTTGTCATAATATCCAGATAAGTCAAGCTTTCAACACCTGAAAATGGAGCTATAAAAATTCAGTACATTTAAGAATAAATTTTGGTCAAGTACTAAGTGCGCGAATTATGGTGACTCGCGGATAGGCCAAGACTATGTCGTAGACATAGGATTAGCCCAACCAGTCACTGAGATGAGTGTGTGGCTATGTTAATATTAATGTTAATGACTAATGTTATTGCTTCGCTCACTTTGTGCCTGTAGGCCTTTACCCCCAGAACTGTGGGGTCCGTCCTCTGCCAC